TTTTCTTATGAAAAGATAGAGAATCTTTTCCCGATCATAATGACACCAAAATTATGAAATTTGATGGAAAACTTATGGAATTATGCTCTCGCGAAGTTAGCGGTCTCGACAATGCTTATGCATTGGCAATTTTGCCCACTTTGAGCACTATTTTCGGCCAATTCCAGTGTACTAGTCGACAAAAATCATAACTATTTCGCTAGAACTCCATTTTTTCTATCGAATGAGTACAAAAAAAACACCCATTTACCAATTTCAACTATCCAATACAGTGGTCAGAATTTAGCAATTTTGCCAATTTCACACAAATTTCAAAAGATGCCAATTTCCAAATAGGGTCCATTCAAATAGACCCATTCTTTCATATGAAGGCCTACCAGCTTTCTCCCACTAGATTTGAGGGTGCTAGAATTTAGGTGTACTAGTACGTCAAAAACCCTGGTGCATAAGCCATACTAGTACGGCCAAAACCCTGAAAGGGTTACGAAAATGCCTGGAACTAGTGCTGATGTTAGTGAATTTAAGGCCAGCAAAGGTTGGTTTGAGAGATTTAAGAATCGTAGTGGCATACGCAATGTGATAAGGCATGGTGAGGCTGCAAGTTCTGACAAAAAGCAGCTGAAAAATATGTGCAGGACTTTAAGGGGTATGTAGACACTGAAAAATTAAAACCCCAACAAGTGTTCAATTGTGACGAAACAGGCCTGTTTTGGAAGAAAATGCCAAACAGGACCTACATTACTCAGAAGGAAAAGGTACTCCCAGGACACAAGCCTAGGAAAGACAGGCTGACTCTCATGTTTTGTAGTAATGGTAGTGGGGATTGCAAAGTGAAGCCTGTACACCTGTATCACTCTGAAACTCCCAGTGCATTCAAGAAAAACAGTGTCGTCAAGCCTAATTTGTGTGTGATGTGGAGGGCAAACAGTAAGGCATGGGTCACTAGGGACATTTTCCTCGATTGGTTCTAACAAGTGTTTGGCCCCAGTGTGAAAAAATACCTCCTGGAAAATAAATTGGAACTCAAGTGCCTCCTGGTATTAGACAATGCTCCTGATCATCCTCCAGACTTGCAAGAGCGAATTGTGGGGGAGTTTAGTTTTAACAAAGTAAAGTTTTTGCCTCCTAACACCACTTCTCTCCTCCAGCCCATGAACCAGCAGGTCATTTCAAATTTCAAAAAACTGTACACCAAAGCAGTGTTTCAAAAGTGCTTTGAAGTGACCTCAAACATTGAAGTGACCCTAAGAGAGTTCTGGAAAATCACTTCAGTATCCTCAGTTGCATAAACCTTATAGGTAAGGCTTGGGAGGGAGTGACTTGCAGGACATTGAACTCTGCTTGGAGAAAATTGTGACCAGAATGTGTACAAGAGAGGGATTTTGAAGGGTTTGGGGCTAACCCTGAGGAGCCTATACCAGTTGTGGAATCCATTGTGTCACTTGGGAAGTCCATGGGGTTGTAGGTTAGTGGCAAGGATGTGGAAGAGCTGGTGGAGGACAACGATGAAGAGCCAACCACTGATGAGCTGCAAGAGCATCTGCTACTGCAACAGACCACAGCTGAGGATATTGCTTCAGAGGAGGGGTAAGAGAGATGGAGGAAGTTGCCTTCTTCAATGATTAAGGACATTTGTACAATGTAGACAAAGGTGCAAGCCTTTATGGATGAACATCACCCTGACACAGCTGTTGCAAGCCATGCTGGCAACATCTACATTGACAATATTGTGTCCCATCTTAGGGAAATCTTAAAGACACGGCAGAAACAGAGCTCTCTGGACAGATTTTTTGGTGCGACAGGGGTCCAGTGACTCTCAAGCTGGTCCTAGTGGCATTAAAAACAAAGAAGGGAGGTAACCCCAGAAAAGGACTTGCTACCTAAACCTCCATCATCTCCCCTCCTCCCGTCTCATCACTAAGTCTTCAATAAAGGTTAGTGTCATTTTATGAATTATTAATGTATTTATTCTTCATATCTCATTGTTTTCTGTGTAGAAAAATGTATATTTCATGTGAAATTTTTTTTTTAATACTTTTGGGTGTCTGGAACAGATTAATTAGATTTCCATTATTTCTTATGGCTCAGAGCATGTACAGTCCCTTCATATAAAGGGAAGGGGGACAAAAGAGACTGTAAAAATTATAGAGGAATAAGTTTACTGAGTATACCAGGAAAAGTGTACAGTAGGGTTATTAACCCTTTCAGGGTTTTCGCCGTACTAGTATGGCTTACGCACCAGTGTCCATGACGTACTGGTACGCCTAGATTCTAGCGCCCTCAAATCTAGTGAGAGAAAGCTGGTAGGGCTACATATGAAAGAATGGGTCTATGTGGTCAGTGTGCGCAGTATAAAAAAAATTCTGTAGCACACAGTGCGTAATGAGAAAAAAAAACTTTGACTGTGTTTTTTGGATTAAAACAGCAACTTTACATTGTATTTTCGTATGGTATTTATTGTTGTATTCTAGTTTTCCTGGTCTCATTTTATAGAATGGAAGACATATTACAGAAATTGAGATGATTTTGACTGGTTTTACAATGAAAAGTACCTTGAAATTGAGCTCAAAGTAGCAGAAATGTGCGATTTTTACCAAAGTTCAAAAGTAAACAAATCATGTTATGCGTCCAATACACGTCAACTGGTGAGTCTAATATTCTTTTACAAGTGTGCTGATATTATTTATACCATTTCTACACTAATGCATTAGTCTGCATAACAGTAAATCTTCTATTTTTTTGTGAGAATAAAAATTCAAAGTGAAAAGCAAAAGAATGTAAGAGGCCGTGGGGACATGACTAATGAACAGAGGAAATGTCATTTTAGTGCCAGGAATGTCTTTCTTGTTTATTCTGGATCCTATTTGGAAATTGGCATCTTTTGAAATTTGTGTGAGATTGGCAAAATTGCTAAATTCTGACCACTGTATTGGATAGTTGAAATCGGTAAATGGGTGATTTCTTGTACTCATTCGATAGAAAAAATGGAGCTCTAGCGAAATAGTTATGATTTTTGTCGACTAGTACACTGGAATTGCCCGAAAATAGGGCTCAAAGTGGGTAAAATCGTCGATGTGTAAACATCGCCGAGACCTCTAACTTCGCGAGAGCATAATTCCATAAGTTTTCCATCAAATTTCATACTTTTGGTGTCATTATGATCGGGAAAATATTATGTCTTTTCATAAGAAAAAATAATTTTTTTTTTTTTTTTGAAATTTGGGGGACCCTGAGAACAGGTCTCGGAGAGGGTCTGTGGACCCTGAAAGGGTTAATGAAAGAATTAGAGGTAGGACAGAATATAGGATTGCGGATGAGCAAGGAGGTTTTAGAGTGGGTAGGGGATGTGTAAATCAAGTGTTTATATTGAAGCATATATGTAAACAGGACATCCAGCTTCTTCTCATTCATAACATCCACAATCATCTCTTTCTTATCATTTGCAGAACATCCACGTACATTCAGGCTTCCCACTTTGACAATTTTCTTATTATTCATTTTAGTAATTATTACAGGAAAAAGGGTTACTCACCCATTGTTCCCGGCATTTTAGTTGGCTTTTACAACACGCATGGCTTACGGAGGAAATATTCTTATTCCACTTCTCCATGGATATAAAAGGAAAAGTAATAAGACCAGGAACTATTAAGATAAAATCAAAGAAAATTCATATGAGTGTGTATAAATAAACATGTACACGTATGTGTAGCGTGACCTAATGTAAGTAGAAGTAGCAAGACATACAAGTAATCATGCATATTTATGAGACATACAAAAGACACCAGCAATCCTACCCTGATGTAAAACAATTACAGGCTTTCGTTTCACACTCACTTGGCAGGATGGCAGTACCTCCCTGGGTGATTGCTGTCTACCAACCTACTACCTGAAGAGGGGTTGTTGAGGTGGTTTGGTCATTTAGAAAGAATGGATCAAAGTAGAAAGACATGGAGAGCATTTAAATCTGTAGGGAAAGGAAGACAGGGTAGGGGTCGTCCTCGAAAAGGTTGGAAGGAAGGGGTAAGGGAGGTTTTGTGGGCAAAAGGCTTGGACTTCCAGCGAGCATGTGTGAGCGTGCTCGATAGGAGTGAATGGAGACAAATGGTATTTGGGACCTAACGATCTGTTGGAGCATGAGCAGGGTAATATTTATTGAAGGGATTCAGGGAAACTGGTTATTTTTATATAGCCGGACTTGAATCCTGGAAATGGGAAGTACAATGCCTGAACTTTAAAGGAGGGGTTTGGGATATTGGCAGTTTGGAGGGATATGTTGTGTATTTTTATAAGTATATGCTTCGAAGCTGTTGTATTCTGAGCACCTCTGCAAAAACAGTGATTATGTGTGAGTGAGGTGAAAGTGTTGAATGATGATAAAAATATTTTCTTTTTGAGGATTGTCTTTATTTTTGGGTCACCCTGCCTTGGTGGGAGATGGCCGACTTGTTGAAAAAAATAATAATAAAATCGGTTAAGAGCAAGCTCTCTGGAACAGATTAATATCGTTAACCGAGGGTCCACTGTAATGTGTGCACTGATATGTATATTTTTAGGCCTAGCTCTGTTGCTCACTTAATATATGATAGTGTAAATATGTTATCAGGCTTTTATATGCATTTGAAAGGAAAAAAACCACTATGTTTCACTTTACAATGATTTCTGCTTTACAGCAGTAGTCTGAACCCTAACCTGCTGTACAGGAGGGGTCATCCTGTACAACATTTTGCCAGATTTAACAAGACTACTGGATAATATTAGATGCTAAATGACTGATCACTGGATAATGAAACATTATATTCATGGGAGCACACACACACAACCTTTTACTTCCAATCAAAAAAAATCTATTTGAAGTACAGTATACAGTCTCTATATTATCTTTACAAGCTGTATTCTGTATTTACAGTACTTTTTGCCAACAGATATTAAAAATTCTTATCAATAAGAAATATTTTCGAAATCACAAACTTTAAATCAATACACTGTACATGCATTCTTACCGGATGTGAATGAAATGCCTTCGGAAAAGCAGTTTTGCAGCATTTATGAAGTCATCAACAAGATCCTGGTCTAAGAGAATCTTGCAGCGTTGATACAGAAGCTGGGAGTCGAGAGGCTCAGAATCACTTTCTTGATTTAGAATAAGTAGAGCCTCATCCAGTCGACCAAGAGATTGTAAAATTGATGAAAGAGTCAACCTGGCTTCTGCATGCTGTGGTGCTAATTGCACAACCTGAGGGTGGAAATAAAACAGAAAATTTTAAATTACTTTATACATATATGTACTGTAAAGTACATACTTTGGTACCCAACTTTTTTCCTGATATTTATATACACTTAATGACATTTGCTGAAATTCTATAAAAGGCCATATTATATTCTGAAATATTCACTGCATTACAACATTAAATCATTATTCTATAGTATCAGCTATTCTCAAAGCCTGGTCATGGACTGGACTACAGGAGTGTTAATCCCTGAAACTCTCTCCAGGTAAACTCCAGGTATACCTCCTGGAGTTTACCTGGAGAAGGTTTAGGGGGTCAATGCCCTCGAGGCCTGGTCTAAGACCAGGCCTCATGGTCGATCAGGTCCTGATCAACCAGGCTGTTACTACTGGCCACACGTAAACTGACATACGAATCACAGCCCGGCTGATCGTACTGACTTTAGGTGCCTGTCCAGCACTTTCCTGAAGACAGACAGGGGGGTCTATTTGTAATCCCCCTTATGTATCCTGGGAAGTAGTTGAACAGTCTTGGGCCCCTGACACTTATTGTGTTGTCTCTTAGTGTACTCATGGCATCCCTTGCGTCTCATTCAGGGAATGCTGCATCTCCTGGTGAGTCTTTTGCTATCATAGGGGGTGATTTTTGTGTGTAAGTTTGGTACTAATCCCTCTAGGATTTTCCAAGTGTATATTATTGTGTATCTTTCTCATCTGCATTTCAGGGAATACAAATCAAGAGACGTCAACCATTCCCAGTAATTTAGATGCTATATCATACTTTTGCGAGCCGTGAAAGTTCTCTGTGCATTCTCCAGGTCTGCAATTACACTTGCCTTGAAGGGGGCAGTTAGTGTACAGCAATATTCTAGCCTAGAGAGAACAAGCGATTTGAAGAGAATCATCATGGGCTTTGCGTCCCTAGTATTGAATTTTCTCATTATCCATCCTATCATTTTTCTAGCAGATCAGGTAGATACATTGTTGTGGTCTTTGAAGGTGAGATCCTCTGACATTATCACTCACAGATCTTTCACATTAGTTTTTCACTCTACTGTGTGGGTTAGAAATTGTTTTATACTCTGATAAAGTTTTAATTTCCTCAGGTTTTCAATATCTGAGTACAGTTGAAATTTCTCTTCATTGAACTTAATATTGTTTTCAGTGGCCCATTTTAAGATTTGGTTGATGTCCTCTTGGAGTCTTGCAGTGTCTTCGATGGAGGACACTGCCATGGCAATTTGAGTGTCATCCGCAAAGGAAGACATGGAACTATGGCTTACATCTCTATGTCAGATATGAGGATGAGGAACAGGATGGGAGCAAGTTCTGTGCCTTGTGGAACAAAGCTTTTCACTGTAGCCACCTCAGACTTACTCTGTTTACTATTACATTTTGTGTTCTATTTGCTAGGAAATTTTAGGTCCATTTACCAACTTTTCCTGTTATTCCTCTGTCATGCATTTTGTGTGCTATTACACCATGGTCACACTTATTGAAGGCTTTTGCAGTCTGTGTATACTACATCTGCATTTTGTTAATCATCTAAAGCATCTAGGACCTTGTCATAGTGGTCCAGTAACTGGGACAGACAAGAGCAACCTGCTCCAAATCCATGTTGTCCTGGGTTGTGTAACTGATGGGTATCTAGGTGATTGGCAATCTTATTTCTTAGAACTTTTTCAAAGATTTTTATGATATGGGATATTAGTGCTATCAGTCAGTCTTTCTTTGCAACTGCTTTACTGCCACTTTTGTGGAGTGGGGCTATGTCTGTTGTTTTTTGTGACTGTGGGATGACGCCTGTGTCCATGCTCCCTCTCCACAGAATGCTGAAGGCACGTGATGGGCTTCTTGCAGTTCTTGATGAACACTGAGTTCCATGAGTCCAGGCCTGGGACAGAGTGCATGGGCATGTCATTAACTGCATTTTTAAAGTCTTGTGGAACTAAGATAATATCAGAGATTTTTGAAGTGACCAAATTTTGAGTCTCTGTCATAAAAAATTTATTTAGATTGTTGACCCTGAGTCTGGCTAACGGCTTGCTGAACGCTTAGTCATACTGGGATTTCAGTATCTAGCTCATTTCTTTGCTATCATCTGTGTAGGTCCTATCTCGTCTAAGCAAGGGTCCAATACTAGATGTTTTTGCCTTAGATTTGGCATAAGAGAAGAAGTATTTTGGATTTCTTTCAATTTCATTGATGGTTTTAAGTGCTCCCTGAGATTCTTGTCTCCTGTAAGATTCCCTAAGCTTAAGTTCGATATCTGATCAGTGGTGACCTGTACATAGCACAGTGGTGACCTGTACACAGTTCAGTGGTGACCTGTACATAGCTTAGTGAGGACGCGTCTAGTGTACTCCCTGTGGACTGAACCAAGATGCCCTCTATTGAGCAACTTTACCAGCAGCTTAAAGAGGAAATGGGGGCAACGAAGCTTGAGATACGGCAGTTGATGGAGGAAAACAAGAGGATTCATAGTAGTCCTCCTGTTAGCTAGCTGGTCCAGTGGCTAATGCGACAGTCTGGAGTTTTGAGACTCTCTGATTGTGGGTTCTATCCCCGCCCGTGGTATGGTTTGTTTGCAATCATGTCATTATGATTTCGTGAGACATGTTAACGGCTTTAAGGGGACTTGAGCTAGAGTTCATCACGGCCACGCTAGCTGGAGATTCGTCTGTAAAAACTTGCATTTGTGGTCACAGTGGTGCCTGTGCTAACCTTCCTATGGTGTAGAAATATACCTAGTTGGACGAATCGTATTGTGGCTAGCTGGTCCAGTGGCTAACGCAACGGTCTGAAGTTTTGAGACTCTCTGATCGTGGGTTCTATCCCCGCCCGTGGTATGGTTTGTTTGCAATCGTGTCATTACGATTTCGTGAGTCCTCCTGTTGTGAGTCCTCAGGTCAGGAAGGGAACCTGGGCAGTGGCCGGACAGCATGGAACAAGGCTGAAGATCAAGAAGACAAATGGAGAGGTAGAAACAATGAAGAAGAAAGAGACTGCTGTGGAAACTGTTGTGGAAACATCGAATCCATTCGCCGTGCTACCTAATGAATGTGAGTCGACTACTGGGAACGTCACAACGAACGACGTCAAGGAAGAGGACGGTGAGTCGAAATCCCTTGAAACCCCAACAAAGACCTTCGAGAACATCACTACTAACTCCGCCAGTGAAGGTAAGAACACTGTTTTAGTTGGGGACAGTCAGGTGAAATTTATGGATAGGGCTTTTTGTGTTAGGGACAGGAAGAGGAGGTAGAGGGTGTTTTCCTGGGGCTGGGGTGGGGGATATTATTAGCCATCTGGATGATATCACAAGAGGCAATGGGAGCAATCCTATTATCTGCCTCAGTGCGGAAGGCAATGATGTTGGCAGACGTAGGAGTGAAGACCTGATTAGCAGGTATAGGACAGCAATAGAGATAATTAGGAAGAAGGATGGGAACCCTGTGATATGTGGCATTTTGCCCAGGAGAGGAGTTGGAAATAAATGGTTGTCCAGGGCAATTGGTGTCAATTGCTGTCTGGACAAACACTGTAAGGAAAATGCAGTAACATTCATAGACAACTGGGACTTCTATGGCAGAAATGACATGTATGTCAGGGATGGGGTTCACTTATCTAGGTTTGGGGTGGGAGCACTGGTATGGGTTTTTGTGGAAAATCAATGTATTCTGAGTGTAGCGATAGTGAGAGTTTTAACGAAACCAGTTATAGGCAGAATGAGGTAGAGTTATTGGTGAATATAGGTAAGCCAGTGGCATTAGGTGACAAGGAGAGTAACAGGCATAGTGGAGGAACAGAAATCAACAGGAAGAGAAAAGAGAAGGGAGGGTTTCTGAAAATATATTATAACAATAGTCATAGTGCGAGAAATAAGATGGACGAATTGAGATAAGTTGCAAGTGCGGGTAATGTTGATGTTTTTGCCATAACTGAGACGTGGTTTAATATGAAAAATAGGGACATGCCTGCTGAATGTCACATTCAAGGTTTTAAATTGTTCCAAGTAGACAGAAGTATCAGGAAGGGGGGGTTGGGGTGGCACTCTATGTCTGTGATCGTTTAAATTGTTGCATAAAAACAGGTATAAAGTCTGAAACACATACTTTGTCTATATGGATAGAATTTTCAGAGGGGCATGAAAAATTTATTTTAGGTGAGAGAGTTTTGGAAAGATCACTTTACTATCGCCCATTGCATAACTCTCATTGACAAAGCCTGGCAGGAAGTTTCATACAGAACAATGAACTCTGCTTGGAGGAATTTGTAGCCAAAAGCAGTGGCTGAAAGAGACTCTGAGAGCTTTGAGGCTGTGTCTATAGTGGAGGATATTGTCTCTCTGGGCAGGTCTATGGGTCTGGATGTGAGTAATGATTATGTAGAGGAGTTAGTGGAGGGGCACAGGGAAGAGCTGACCACTGAGGAGCTGGAGGAACTTGAGAAGGAGGAGCACAAGACTAATACAGATGCACTCTCTTCAGGCTCGGAAGAGAAGATAGAGGAAGCCCCTACTTCATTAATCAAGGAAATCTTTGCCAAATGGATGGACATCAAAAACTTTCCAGAGAAGTACCACCCCAACAAAGCCCAAACAAGCCGTAATAGCATTGTCTGAAATGACCAGACAATGTCACATTTCCAAAACATCCTGAGGAAAAGGCAGAAGCAAAGTTCTTTGGACAGATTTTCAGTAAAAGTCAAACCTGGTGAGCTTCAACCAGGTCCAGATAGGGAAAAGAGACAGAAAAGAGAAGGGGACTCTCCTTCCAAACAATAACACTTCCTCCTCCTCTCTTCTCAGCACTGTCCTAGTAGGCACTTGACTCTTTCAGGTTAAATTTGCATTTATTTCATCTAATTCTTTTGTATTTATGTATGTATTTTAGAATTCAGCAGTGTTTAAATTACATATTTCAGTATTAAGCAGTGTTTAAATTATTTTATACAACCCCATCAATGTATAATATGCCAATAACAATAGGAATTTTTTTTCATGGGAACATATTAATCGTTTTCCTTATACAGTGGACCCTCGACCAGCGATGGCATCGATTAACGATAAATCTGACTAGCGATACATTTTATCGCAAAAATTTTGCCTCGATTAGCGCTAAAAAACTCGACCAACACTATTCCTTCCGTCTGAGACGTGTCCACTTCTGGCCAGTGTTTACAAGCCAGCCAGCCACCGCGGTCGCTTCCAAGCATACAATCGGAACATTTCATATTATCACAGCCTTTTTAGTGATTGCACCTGCAAAATAAGTCACCATGGGCCCCAAGAAAGCTTCTAGTGCCAACCCTACAGCAAAAAGGGTGAGAATTACTATGGATATGAAGAAAGATCATTGCTAAGTATGAAAGTGGAGTGCATGTCTCCGAGCTGGCCAGGCTGTACACAAAACCCCAATCAACCATCGCTACTATTGTGGCCAAGAAAACGGCAATCAAGGAAGCTGTTCTTGCCAAAGGTGCAACTATGTTTTCGAAACTGAGATCGCAAGTGATAGAAGATGTTGAGAGAATGTTATTGGTATGGATAAACGAAAAACAGATAGCAGGAGATAGCATCTCTCAAGCGATCATATGTGAAAAGGCTAGGAAGTTGCATGACGATTTAATTAGAAAAATGCCAGCAACTAGTGGTGATGTGAGTGAATTTAAGGCCAGCAAAGGTTGGTTTGAAAGATTTAAGAATCGTAGTGGCATACATAGTGTGATAAGGCATGGTGAGGCTGCCAGTTTGGACCAAAAAGCAGCTGAAAAATATGTGCAGGAATTCAAGGAGTACATAGACAAGTGTTCAATGGTGACACTGACAATGTTGTGAAACACGTTAGGAATGTCATAAAGGAACGGGAGGTACAGGCCTCTATGGGCAGATATGTTGTGCAACAGAGATCCAGTGACTCTCAAGCTGGTCCTAGTGGCATTAAAAGAAGGGAAGTAACCCCGAAAAAGGACTTGCCACCTCAAGTCCTAATGGAAGGGGATTCCCCTTCTAAACACTAAGACCATCAACACACTCCCCTCTTCCCATCCCATCAATCATCACCAGATCTTCAATAAAGGTAAGTGTCATGTAACTGTGCATGTCTTCTTCAGTTTGTGTGTATTAAAATTAATATTTCATGTGTTAAAATTTTTTTTTTTCAATACTTTTGGGTGTCTTGCACGGATTAATTTGATTTCCATTATTTCTTATGGGGAAAATTAACTTGACTAACGATTACTTTGACTAACGATGAGCTCTCAGGAACGGATTAATAGCGTTAGTCGAGGGTCCACTGTATTTCTTATGGGAAAATTCCTTTGGTATATGCCCTGTTTGGTATAAGCCCAAGGTCCTGGAACGGATTAAGGACTTATACCGAGGTACTACTGTATATATAAAATATGCAATAACTTTAAAACACTTGGAATTATGGAAAGTTTCCAGAAATAATGGAGAGACACGGAGATCATGAAGGATGTAAACAAACAGTGGCAAGTGGAAACCATATCAGTGTTTCAGGTGGGGATGGAGAAGCCATATAATGAGTTTTGATCATAATTTGAAATGTCTGTATTGGTGAAACTCCGTAAAGTGAAGCCGTACTGTACATTGTACCTGGGCTTATGCACAGAGTAACATTTTTTTACAACCATTTAACTGCAATTATGTTCTGATTCTCAGTCTCCACTTTCTTCTTCTCCAACTTTTTGTACCAGATTAGTACAAGACACATGAGTGGGCAAAGTCAAGTTACAAAGAATGTAAATAGTTACTTATTTGTGATATCACTTTCATATGAATTCATGGTGATAGTCCAACTACATGCTGGTAATTCTTCCCACACTTACTTGATTGTATGCCTGAGCTGCTTCTTCCATTTGATCAACAGCTGCCAAGCACTCCCCATACTGGAGCCACACAGCAGCTACATTATAATGATTGGAGTCAATCAGTGGACGTAACAGAGTTAGTGCTGCTTCATGATAGTCTGCACTCATGTAGGCTTCTGCTATGTCTAAATACAGGTCCCCAAACTCTTCCTCAGATTCACTAACAAAAGAAAAATGTAAAGACTGTAAAAATATATTTAGCAATGGGTATACTATAAAAATAAATTTATCATTACCTAACCTGTGACATTTAAAATAATAAATTCTATCTTTATTTTCAGTGACTCAAAAAAGCAGAAACATTTTCACCAACATTCACTGTATCACTGTTTTGCCAGAGGCACACCGATGCTGCAGTTCAGATGCCCCTCAAAACTGCAGGCACTGTACTTCTCACCTCCAGGACTCAAGTCCAGCTAACCAGTTTCCTTGAATCCCTACAAAAATGATACCTTGCTCACACTCCAACAACTCAAGTCCCATAAACCATTTGCCTCCACTCAAATGTAGTAGGTTGGTAGACAGCAAATACCCAGGAAGGTACTACCATCCTGCCAAATGAGCGTGAAATGGAAACATGTAACTCTTTTATACAATGGTAGGATTGCTGGTGTCTTTTCTTTCTGTCTCAAATACGCAAGATAACAGAACATTCCGTATAGAGAAATAAGATCAAATAAAAATGACCCGAAATGGATAAATAATAGGCTCAAATATCTTTTAGGGCAGAAAAAGGGAATTTACAGATGCATCAAAGCGGTGACGGTCATCTTATGAATCAATATATTCACATTAAGAGGGAGGTTAAAAAGGGGATACGAAAAGCTAAACAGAACTATGAAATTAAAATAGCTAGGGGTTCAAGAAGTTATCCAAAAGGTTTTTTTCCAGGTATACAGAACAAAACCTTGGTAGTAGGGTGGTAGACAGCAACCACACAGGGAGGTACTACTGTCTTGCCAAGTGAGTGTGAAATGGAAACCTGTAATTGTTTTACATGATGGTAGGATTGCTAGTGTCTTTTTTCTGTCTCATAAACACACGGGATACCAGGTTATCTTGCTACTTCTACTTACACTTAGGTCACACTACATACGTATTTTTTTTTTTTTCAACAAGTCGGCCGTCTCCCACCGAGGCAGGGTGACCCAAAAAAGAAAGAAAATCCCCAAAAAGAAAATACTTTCATCATCATTCAACACTTTCACCACACTCACACATTATCACTGTTTTTGCAGAGGTGCTCAGAATACAACAGTTTAGAAGCATACACATATAAAGATACACAACATATCCCTCCAAACTGCCTATATCCCAAACCCCTCCTTTAAAGTGCAGGCATTGTACTTCCCATTTCCAGGACTCAAGTCCGACTATATGAAAATAATCGGTTTCCCTGAATCCCTTCACTAAATATTACCCTGCTCACACTCCAACAGATCGTCAGGTCCCAAGTACCATTCGTCTCCATTCACTCCTATCTAACACACTCACGCACGCTTGCATATACATATATACATACCCATTTGGGTTTTCTTCTATTTTCTTAATAGTTCTTGTTCTTCTTTATTTCCTCTAATCTCCATGGGGAAGTGGGACAGAATTCTTCTTCCGTAAGCCATGCGTGTCATAAGAGGCGACTAACATCCTGGGAGCAAGGGGCTAGTAACCTCTTCTCCTGTATACATTACTAAAGTAGTTAAAAAGAGTAACTTTTGTTTTTACATTTAGGTAACCCTGCCTCAGTGGGATACAGCCGGTTTGTTAAAAAAGTATATACGTATGTATGTATGCACCTCTCCTCACATAACGACGGAGTTCCATTCCTAACACCACGTTGTTAAACGAATTTGTCTCTAAGTGAGGAGCATACTTTAACCCTTTCAGGGTTTCTGACGTACTAGTATGGCTTACGCACCAGCGTTATTGACGTACTGTACTAGTACACATAAATTCTAGCACCTTCAAATCTAGCGAGAGAAAGCTGGTAGGCCTACATATGAAAGAATGGGTCTATGTGGTCAGTGTGCACACTATAAAAAAAATCCTGCAGCACACAGTGCGTAATGAGAAAAAAACTTTGACCATGTTTTTGGTTTAAAACAGCGACTTTGCACTGTACTTTATTTTTGTATGGTATTTATGGTTGTATTCTAGTTTTCCTGGTCTTATTTTATTTTATATTACAGAAATTGAGATGATTTTGATTGGTTTCACGATGAAAAGTACCTTGAAATTGAGCTCAAAGTAGCAGAAATGTTTGATTTTTGCCAAAGTTCAAAAGTAAACAAATCATGCCATGCGTCCGATACAGGTCAACTGGAGAGTCTAATATTCTTTCACAAGTGCGCTGTTATTATTTATACCATTTCTACACTAATGCAGTAGTCAACATAACAGTAAATCTTCTATTTTTTGTGAGAATAAAAATTCAATGTGGAAAGCAAAAGAAATGTAAGAGGGGCCTGGGGATGTGACTAATGAACAGAGGAAATGATATTTTAGTGCCAGGAATGTCTGTCTTATTTATTCTGGACCCTATTTGGAAATTGGCATCTTTTGAAATTTGTGTGTAAGTGGTAAAATTCCTAATTTCTGACCACTTTACTGGATAGTTGAAATTGGTAAATGGGTGGTTTCTTGTACTCATTTGATAGAAAAAATGGAGTTCTAACGAAACAGTTATGATTTTTGTCGACTAGTATGCTGGAATTGGCCAAAAATAGGGCTCAAAGTGGGCGAAATCACCAATGCGTAAACATCGACGAGACCGCTAACTTTGCGAGAGCATAATTCCATAAGGTGTCTATCAAATTTCATACTTTTGGTGTCATTATGATCGGGAAAAGATTCTCTATCTTTTCATAAGAAAAAATCATTTATTTTTTTTCCGAAAAATTTTCGACCCTAAGAACAAGTTTAGGAGAGGGCCTCTTGACCCTGAAAGGGTTAATGGTAGTGGGTTTGTGTCAACTATCTCTGATATTATTTTAATGTCACCTTTGCACCATTTATAACATTTCTGGTATATTTGTAAATGTTTATACAGTAGTGTACTGTATATTATAATAAACAGAATAGAGGAAATCAACTCTAATATACATTATTTAGGCATGCATACTGGTCAGAGACCCTGTTGTAAGTCTGAGGCATCGGTAAACGAGTACATCGCTAAGTGAGAGAGGCTGTAAACATTTAAAAGCATACCAGAAATGTTATAAATGGTGCAAAGGTGACATTAAAACAATATCGAAGATGGCTGACACAAACCCACTAAAATTATAGTATGCTCCTCACTTAGCGACGAATTCGTTTAACAGCGTGACCTTAGGAACAGAACTCCGTTGTTAAGTGAGGAGAGGCTTACAGTAGTGTATTGTATGTTGAAATAAACAGAATAGAGGAAATCAGCTTTATGAGCAGTATTTAGGTATAAATACTGCTTAGAGAGCCCATTGTAAGTCCGAGGTGTCGGTAAACTAGTACAGTAGACCCCCGCATACCGTTGGCATCACATAACGTTTAATCCGCATACCGCTACATTTTAGCGCAAAAATTTTGCCTCGCATACCGCTCAAAAACCCGCTCACCGCTGTTCGTCCGAGATGCGTCTAATGTGCACCCTTAGCCAGCCTCACATGTGCCGCCGGTGGCATTGTTTACCAGCCAGCCTCTGCGGTAACATCCAAGCATACAATCGGAACATTTCGTATTATTACAGTGTTTTTGGTGATTTTATCTGCAAAATAAGTGACCATGGGCCCCAAGAAAGCTTCTAGTGCCAACCCTACAGCAATAAGGGTGAGAATTACTATAGAGATGAAGAAAAAGATCATTGATAAGTATGAAAGTGGAGTGCGTGTCTCCGAGCTGGCCAGGTTGTATAATAAACCCCAATCAACCATCGCTACTATTGGTGGTACAGCTGCTGCTGCTGCTGTACCACCGTCAGCTGCTGCTGCTGCTGCTGTACCACCGTCAGCTGCTGCTGCTGCTGCACTGTCAGCTGTTGCTGCTGCACTGTCAGCTGCTGCTGCTGCTGCTGTAGAACCGTTGTTGGTGTGGCTTATTGAGAATACCAAGAAACAATTAACCCCAGAGGATTTGCCACCCAGGATAACCCAAAAAAGTCAGTGTCATCGAAGACTAACTTATTTCCATTGGGGTCCTTAATCTTGTCTCCCAGGATGCAACCCACACCAGTCGACTAACACCCAGGTGAACAGGGAAAAATGCCTGGAACTAGTGCTCATATTGGTGAATTTAAAGCCAGCAAAGGTTGGTTTGAGAGATTTAAGAATCGTAGTGGCATACACAGTGTGATAAGGCCTGTTCTGGAAGAAAATGCCAAACAGGACCTACAGTACTCAGGAGGAAAAGGCACTCCCAGGACACAGTGTCTCATCAGTCATTGCTGCATCTTCAATAAAGGTAAGTGTCATTTATTCTTCATTTAGTAGAGTAGTACATGCACAATATATATTGTGCATGTACTACTCTACTATTGTGCATGTATCCTTCTCTTTGTGTGTAGGAAAATGTATATTTCATGTGGTAAAATTTTTTTTTTCATACTTTTGGGTGTCTTGCACGGATTAATTTGATTTCCATTATTTCTTATGGGGAAAATTCATTCGCATACCAATCATTTCGCATAACAATGAGCCCTCTTGCACGGATTAAAATCGCTATGCGGGGGTCCACTGTACTTCGCTAAGTGAGGAGAGGCTGTATAGAACAAATCTAGGTAGTAGGTTGGTCGACAGCAACCATCCAGGGAGGTACTACCATCCTGCCAAATGAGTGTAAAACAGAAGCCTGTAATTGTTTTACATGATGGTAGGATTGCTGGTGTCTTTTTTTTGTCTCATAAAATGCAAGATTTCAGGTACATCTTGCTACTTCTGCTTACATATAGGTCACACTACACATGCATGTACAAGCATATATATACACACCCCTCTGGGTTTTCTTCTTTTTTCTTACTAGTTCTTGTTCTTGTTTATTCCCTCTTTATCTCCATGGAGAAGTGGAAGAGAATTCTTCCTCTGTAAGCCATGAGTGTCATAATAGGCAACTAACATGCTGGGAGCAAGGGGCTAGTAACCCCTTCTCCTGAATACATTACTGAAGTTTACAAAGAGAAACTTTTGTTTTTCTGTTTGGGCCACCCGGCCTCGGTGGGATATGGCCAGTGTGTTGAAAGAAGATGAATAATGAAAATGATATATATCATGGACAAGGACACACAAGGGCATATTATAGGTCAAGTAAATTAATATTATATAGTACAGCACTAACTTCATCAGCAACTCCACTAGAGGGGCTGCAAGCTCAAAGGTTTTAACATGGATGAGGGCGACAGTGAGCTTTGTCCGAAGATCAATTGGTAAGTCAAGGGGAACAAAACACTCGGTAGCAACTGACAACTGATCCTCCAGCTCTCGCTTGTGGAATTGTTCTTCATCGATCTCCTGTGTGTGATAAAAAAAAAAAAACATGTCTTAAAATCTTAAAAGATCAACAGATGACTTTCCTCAATTATCAATTGAAACATTACCATGAAGCAAAAACTGGAAGAGAATTAAATACAATATGAAACTTGCTGAGCACTCACCACCCTCCACCTTTTTTTATCAACCTTTTAATTTCAGGCTTTCAGATACTGCACATTTATTATTAAAACTTGAAAAGCGAAGTACCTTGACTCATTTTAATGAAACGAACATCCTGGAAGGGCCCAAAATGCATCCTCACTCTTACTATGTAAACATTTATTTGCTTCACATAAAATCAGTCAGTATAAGCTTCTTCCTGGAAGAGGTGGTTTCGAGTGCTAAGGACCTGAACACCCAACACCACTTACATCTTGTCTCTCACTCTAATGTAAACATTCCAAGCTCTCTACACTCATTCAATATTTATTGTGCTAACACTAAACTCCCTTTTGTCATCAATGGTTAGAGAATTTAAAAAAAATAAACCAGAAAAATTAAATGCAAACCTCTCTTCTCTTTTTTGCTCATGCATCTTAACCTTCTTGCCCACTCACTTGCTCACATCAATATAATAGCTTCATTACAATAGTAAGCAACATTGACTAGCACAGAGTTTAATGACGAATGGTAAATTGACAAATGAGTCAGTGTTTTTCTACAAAGAGATAGTCCTCTCATTTACTCTCAAACTGGAAAGTGGTGAGTGTGAGAACAAATCACAGGTGATATATAGAAAGAGAAACAACTCCCTGTTCATGATTATTCTATTTATGCCAACCACAGATTCTCACTTTATGTAACAGACGAACTCCCCCATGAAGAACAAGAATTTGTATACAGCGGAGATATTCTTGCTGATGCATCAACACTTCCAGCATAAGGTTGACATCCTCGGGGGTAACATACGAAGGGTATTTTTTGAAAGCTGTTTCCATCGCATCTCGAGCCAGATGGACATCCTTGTTCTCATAGTGAATCTTTGCAATCTCTTTGGCCAGTTTCAGACCATCCTGAAAAAATACACAAGAAACACAAAGATATGCCATGTTTTATAGAAAATTATTACCTGTGAATAAATATAACTAGATTTATTTTGAACGTTGCATGATCAAAGAATGGTATCCATGTACTGCAAATTTCAGTCTCCTGTACCACAATGAATGTGATATAAATGGCAAAAGGTAATCATAAAATTCTCATGTAGTAAAATATAAAAATATGTTTGTGTGCATATGTTTGAGCATATGAACATTTTTACATATGGATATGCATGTGTGTGTGTGTGTATCCATGAGTGTCTTCATGAATTGCATACAGTATACAACACATACACACAGCCATACACAACTGTAGGCCAGACCAACAAGGGGGTGGCACAGCTATATACTACTCAGACCAACTAGAATGTATCACTAATACTTGCACAAGGGATGAACATGGGGAATATATAATAGCTAAATTCAAATCCAAATACCTACAAAAACCTCTCACATTGATAAACATCTACAGAGTTCCACAGTCAAACATTAGCCGATTTAGTCAAAACCTAGGAAGTATGATAACTGATGCACGCATGAACAAAGATCACTTACTACTCTCAGGTGACTTCAATATAAATCTCCTGCAAGACCAGGACCCACACATTACTGAATTCACAAACACAATGAATAACTGCATGTTGCTACCAACAGTAACAAAACCTACAAGAGTTACAGTGACTAGTGTTTCCCTACTTGACCACATCTGGACCAACACCATATCCCCTTTAAAATCAGGCATAATCACAGATAATACCACAGACCACTACCCTACTTTCCTCATAACAACTCTTGGTAAATTACCCCAAGACACTACTAAAGTCACCTTCAGACTTCACAATGAGGCAGCCACTAATAACTTCACAACAGCAGTAACAAACATTGACTAGCACGCTGAGCTAGAAATCTATACAGATATTGACGAATGCATTGATAATTTTCAACAAAAGACCCAATAACTCTATAACAAGCACTGCCCTAAAAAACTAAACAGATGATAGCTAAAAGACTGAACAGTCCCTGGCTAACACCCAGCATTCTCAAATCCATAAATACAAAACACCTATATGAAAAACAGTACAGAATGGGTCACATAACCAGAGACCAAACAAAACGTTACTCGTCAATCCTAACCAGCCTGATAAGAAGGGCAAAAAAATTGTATTATGAGAACAGATTATCCAACTTATGAGGTGATATAAAAAAGACCTGGAAAACCCTATCAGAAATTCTAGGAACAAAAAAGATATCACGAAATAGCGAAATTAAATTAGCAAAATCAGATGAACCCCAACTCCCACCAACAGAAACAGCAAACAGACTCAATGATTTCTTCTCCACTATAGGAAAAACCTTGCCAATAAAATCCCAAGCTCAGATACCCCACCAAATGACTACCTCACTGGCAACTACTCAAACACACTGTTCCTAGCTCCGACTAACCCATACGAAGTCTCCCTTATTATCAACACACTAAAAAACAAGACAGGAGATTTAAATACCTTACCACCCTTTATATACAAAAAAGTGTCACCAATCATTGCAACACTCTTTAACAAATCCACTGAATCCTCTACCTTCCCTACAGTTCTCAAAATAGCAAGGGTCACCCCAATCCATAAAGGAGGAGACCAAACAGAGTTGAATAACTATAGGCCAATATCCAACTTACACCCTCTCTCAAAAATCTTCGAAAAATTAATTCATAAACGAATCTACTCTTACCTCATCTCCCAAAACATACTCAACCCCTGCCAATTTGGATTCAGGCCTAATAAAAATACTAATGATGCTATTATACACATGCTAGAACATATATACACTGCAATAGAGAAAAAAGAAGTCCCACTGGGGATCTTCATTGACTTACGTAAAGCTTTTGATACAGTTGACCATGACTTGCTCCACATAAAATTGTCACACTATGGTATAAGAGGGCACTCCCTCAACTACCTGAAGTCATACATCAGCAACAGAAGCCAATATGAGTACACAAATGGGGCAAACTCTTCCGCACAATCAATTACAGTTGGTGTCCCACAGGGAAGTGTCCTTGGCCCTCTTCTCTTTCTCCTATACATAAATGACCTACCAAATGCTTCACAATTACTCAAACCCACACTATTTGCAGATGACACTACGTACGTCTTCTCTCACCCGAGCCCAGTCATGCTAGCCAATACTGTAAATACCGAATTACAGAAAATTTCTACCTGGATGAGGACTAACAAACTTACACTAAACATTGACAAAACCTACTTCATTCAGTTTGGTAACAGAGCTACAGATGTCCCTCTTAACATAATGATAAACGGATCACCTATCACAAAGCTAACAGAGGGAAAATTCTTAGGAATCCACCTTGATAATGGACTCAAATTTCATACACATATACAACAAATTTCTAAGAAAATTTCCAAGACCGTAGGCATACTATCGAAGATACGGTACTATGTTCCACAGACAGCCCTCCTGGCCCTATATCACTCTCTTATTTACCCCTCTCTCACCTATGGAATTTGTGCATGGGGCTCAACAACAATTAACCATCTCAGACCACTAATTACCCAACAAAAGGCTACAGTCAGAATGATAACAAATTCCCACTACAGGCAGCACACTCCACCAATATTCAAAACACTAAACCTACTCGCCATACAAAACATCCATACTTATTACTGCACCTATTACAAACATAGAACACTTAACTCTGATATTAACCCTCCCCTCAAACATCTCCTTGCCAACCTCAACAGAACACATGACCATAACACAAGGCACAGATCACTCTTTGATGTTCCTCGTGTCCATCTCACGCTATGCAAAAACTCAATGCACATAAAAGGCCCTAAAATCTGGAATTCTTTACCTGTAAATATAAAAGAAACACTACCTGTTATAAATTCAAGTCCTCTTCTCAAAGATCACTTACTCACCCAAAACCAAATAAATACTGAATAACTGAACCTTATAAATTGTATATCTTAAATGTTTCTCATAATTATATCACATAAATGTTAAACCTAAGACCCAATCTAACTTTGTTATTTTTTAAATACACTACCTAACAGAATACTCCATTCGACTGAATGTACAGCAATGCATGCAACCATATGACCTGTCTTTGTAATACTCATTTGTGCTTTATTGTTATCTGTTTACAATAATGTTTTATCACTGATTACATCATTGCTTAGTTAATCTTAAGTTTATTTTAAGCCTGCCCATAATGCTATGCATACAAGTGGCTTTGGCATACTGCTCTTACCTGTATTTTTTTGTACCTCTGTATGTTCAAATTATTAAATAAATAAATAAAAAAAATAAATGTTCGCCTGGCAAACCTACAAGTGGCCTTCAGAAATCTCAACAAAGAATCATTCTGGGTGCTTTACAAAACACATGTCAGGCCCATCTCAGAGTATGCAGCACCAGTGTGGAACCCACACCTGAGGAAACATGTTAAGATACTGGAGAAAGTGCAGAAGTATGCAACAAGACTAGTTTTAGAGCTAAGGGGTAGAGGCTACGAGGAAAGTGGAACAGAATTCTTCCTCCGTAAGCCATGTGTGTTGTAAGAGGCAACTAAAATGCTGGGAGCAAGGGGCTAGTAACTCCTTCTCCTGTATACATTTCTAAATTTAGAAAGAGAAACTTTTGTTTTTCTCCTTAGGCCACCCTGCCTCGGTGGGATACAGGTGGTTTGTTGAAAGAAGACAACAACAACTGTGGAGGACAGAAGGACCAAAGGAAACATGATAATAACATACAAAATACTGAGGAACTGTTAGGGCAGACAGGAACAGGCTGTTTGAGAAGAGGCAACAGGTACTAATGGGCTCAGGAGGATGCTATAGACACAGATGAGTCACAGGGATGTCAGGAAATATTTCTTCAGTCCCAGGGTGGTCAAGAAGTGGAAAAAACCTCAATGAAGAAGTGGTAGAGGCAGACTCCATACGTAGTTTTAAGAATAGGTACAATAGAGCCTATTAAGCTAAGAGAGTGAATCTGGCAGCGGTAAGCTAAGAGCTTGGGCCAGGAGCTAAGACTCAATCCCTGCAACCACTTACTAAATAGTACTTGCATATGCATACATCTGCATGAGTGTGTATGCATATATGCTTGTGTTTATTATGCACATGTAAATTTACAGGAGGGCCCTGCTTTACAGCACTTTACCACTATAAGCTAAGGACGAAAATATTTTAAGGTTAGTAATGTATGTACTGTATATGCACTTTTTAGGCATAGCCCTATTGCTCTAATACACTGACAGTGGAAACATGCTGTCAGGCTTTTATATGCATTTGAATGTGAAAAAGGGCTATGATTCCCTTTACAGCGATTTTTGCTTTACAACAGTAGCCTGGAACCTAACCTGCTGTATAAGTGGGGTTTGCTTGTACCCACATGGGTATGCCTGCAAGAATTTATGTACAGTCTTATCTTATTTATTCTTATTTATGGAATGGACTACATAACACTGATCACAGGGTACCTGCATACGACAACAGTTGCCTGAACTCTGCCCTAGTTACAGTATATCAGCACTGAAAATTTTAAGCCAATTGGATAAAGCATTTCCATTAGATGAAATAAAAACAAAACTTTACAAAAGATACCAAAACTGTTTAAATCTAAAGATGCTCATAAAAAATACTTCAATCATCCTACACCATCATCTCTCATAGGCCAATTGATTCTATTAAATTCTTAAAAATGGGAAATTTCAGCTTGCCTTCTTGCTTACTTCTTACAACTTGCCTTGGGTCATTTTAAATCAGTGTTTCTTGGCCAAATTTGCCAGGTGACCCACCAGTTCAAGAATTTGTTCACTGTGACCATATTATCCACATCGGGTGAAAAACCACGCAGGGAGGTACTACCGTCCTGCCAAGTGAGTGTAAAACGAAAGCCTGTAATTATTTTACATGATGGTAGGATTGCTGGTGTTTTTTGTCTGTCTCATAAACATGCAAGATTACAGGTATGTCTTGCTAATTCTACTTACACTTAGGTCACACTACACATACATGTACACATTTATTTATACACACTCATCTGAGTTTTCTTTGATTTTATCTTAATAGTTCTTGTTTCTTATTACTTTTCCTTTTATATCCATGGGGAAGTGGAATAAGAATCTTTCCTCCATAAGCCATGCGTGTTGTAAAAGTCAACTAAAATGCCAGGAACAATGGGCTAGTAACCCCTTTTCCTGTAATAATTACTAAAAAGAATAAGAAGAAAATTTTCAAAGTGGGATGTCTGAATGTGTGTGTGGATGTTGTGCGAATGATAAGAAAGAGATGATTGTGGATGTTATGAATGAGAAGAAGCTGGATGTCCTGGCTTTAAGTGAAACAAAGCTGAAGAGAAATAAATGGGATTAGGTCAATGGTTTCAAATAGAGTTAGAGCTAAAGAAGGAGTATCAATAATGTTGAAGGATAAGCTATAGCAGGAAAAGAGTATAAATGTATTAATTCAAGGATTATGTGGAGTAAAATAAAGGTTGGATGTGAAAAGTGGGTTATAGTAAGCATATATACACCTGGAGAAGAGAGAAGTGTAGAGAGACAGAGATTTTGGGAAATGCTGAATGAATGCGTGGAGAGTTTTGAACCAAGTGTGAGAGTACTTGTGGTTGGGGATTTCAATGCTAAAGTGGGTAAAAATGTTGTGGAGGGAGTAGTAGGTAAATTTGGGGTGCCAGGGGGAAATGAAAATGGGGAGCCTTTAATTGAGCTATGTGTAGAAAGAGGTTTGGTAATAAGTAATACTTATTTTATGAAAAAGAGGATAAATAAATATACAAGGTATGATATAGCACGTAATGAAAGTAGTTTGTTAGATTATATATTGGTGGATAAAAGGTTGATGGGTAGGCTTCAGGATGTACACGTTTATAGAGGGGCAACTGATATATCAGATCATTATCTAGTTGTAGCTACAGTTAGAGTAAGAGGTAGATGGGATAAGAGGAAAATGGCAACAAGTAAGAGGGAGGTGAAAGTGTATAAACTAAGGGAGGAGGAAGTTTGGTGAGATATAAGCAACTATTGGCAGAAAGATGGGCTGGTGCAAGTATGAGTAGTGGTGGGCTTGAAGAGGGTTGGAATAGTTTTAAAAATGCAGTATTAGAATGTAGGGCAGAAGTTTGTGGTTATAGGAGGGTGGGTGCAGGAGGAAAGAGGAGTGATTGGTGGAATGATGAAGTAAAGGGTGTGATAAAAGAGAAAAAGATAGCTTATGAGAGGCTTTTACAAAGCAGAAGTGTTATAAGAAGAGCAGAGTATATGAAGAGTAAAAGAAAGGTGAAGAGTCTGGTGAGAGAGTGCAAAAGGAAAGCAGATGATAGAGTGGGAGAGGCACTGTCAAGAAATTTTAATGAAAATAAGAAAAAATTTTGGACTGAGTTAAACAAGTTAAGAAAGCCTAGGGAGCAAATGGATCTGTCAGTTAAAAACAGAGTTGGAGAGTTAGTAGATGGGGAGATGGAGGTACTGGGTAGATGTGAGAATACTTTGAGGAACTTTTAAATGTCGATGAAGAAAGGGAGGCGGTAATTTCATGCACTGGACAGGGAGGTATATCATCTTTTAGGAGTGAAGAAGAGAAGGATGTAAGTGTGGGGGAGGTGCGTGAGGCATTACGTAGAATGGAAGGGGGTAAAGCAGCTGGAACTGACGGGATCATGACATAAATGTTAAAAGCAGGGGGGATATAGTGTTGGAGTGGTTGGTATTTTTGTTTAATAAATGTATGAAAGAGGAGAAGGTACCTAGGGATTGGGAGAGAGCGTGTATAGTCCCTTTATATAAAGGGAAGGGGGACAAAAGAGATTGTAAAAAATTATAGAAGAATTAGTTTACTGAGTATACCAGGAAAAGTGTACGGTAGGGTTATTATTGAAAGAATTAGAGGTAAGACAGAATGTAGAATTGCAGATGAGCAAGGAGGTTTTAGAGTGGGTAGGGGATGTGTAGATCAAGTGTTTACAATTAAGCATATATGTGAGCAGTATTTAGATAAATGTAGGGAAGTTTTTATTGCATTTATGGATTTAGAAAAGGCATATCATAGAGTGGATAGGGGAGCAATGTGGCAGATGTTGCAAGTATATGGAATAGGTAAGTTACTAAATGCTGTAAAGAGTTTTTATGAGGATAGTGAGGCTCAGGTTAGGGTGTGTAGAAGAGAGGGAGACTACTTCCCGGTAAAAGTAGGTCTTAGACAGGGATGTGTAATGTCACCATGGTTGTTTAATATATTTATAGATGGGGTTGTAAAAGAAGTAAATGCTAGGGTGTTCGGGAGAGGGGTGGGATTAAATTATGGGGAATTAAATACAAAATGGAAAGTGACACAGTTACTTTTTGCTGATGATACTGTGCTGATGGGAGATTCTAAAGAAAAATTGCAAAGGTTAGTGGACGAATTTGGGAATGTGTGTAAAGGTAGAAAGTTAAAAGTTAACATAGAAAAGAGTAAGGTGATGAGAGCATCAAATGATTTAGATAAAGAAAAATTGGATATCAAACTGGGGAGGAGAAGTTGACATGTCAGTGGATGGATTTATGAAGGATGAGGTTAATCATAGAATTGATGAAGGAAAAAAGGTGAGTGGTACATTGAGGTATATGTGGAGGCAAAAAATGTTATCTATGGAGGCAAAGAAGGGAATGTATGAAAGTATAGTAGTACCAACACTCTTATATGAGTGTGAAGCTTGGGTTGCAAATGCTGCAGCAAGGAGGTGGTTGGAGGCAGTGGAGATGTCCTGTTTAAGAGCAATGTGTGGAGTAAATATTATGCAGAAAATTCGGTGTGTGGAAATTAGGAGAAGGTGTCGTGGAGTTAATAAAAGTATTAGTCAGAGGGCTGAAGAGGGTTTGTTGAGGTGGTTTTGTCATTTAGAGAGAATAGATCAAAGTAGAATGACATGGAGAGCGTATAAATCTGTAGGGGAAGGAAGGCGGGGTAGGGGTCGTCCTCGAAAAAGCAAGCGTGCGTGAGCGTGTTAGATAGGAGTGAATGGAGACAAATGGTATTTGGGACCTGACGATCTGTTGGAGTGTGAGCAGGGTAATATTTAGTGAAGGGATTCAGGATATTGGCAGTTTGGAAGGATATGTTGTGTATCTTCATACGTATATGCTTCTAAACTGCTGTATTCTGAGCACCTCTGCAAAAACAGTGATAATGTGTGAGTGTGGTGAAAGTGTTGAATTATGATGAAAGTATTTTCTTTCTTTTTTGGGTCACCCTGCCTCAGTGGGAGACGGCCGACTTGTTGAAAAAAAAAAAAAAAAATCAGGGAAACCGGTTATTTTTATATAGCCGGACTTGAATCCTGGAAATGGGAAGTACAATGCCTGCACTTTAAAGTAGGGGTTTGGGATATTGGCAGTTTGGAAGGATATGTTGTGTATCTTTATATGTATATACTTCTAAACTGTTGTATTCTGAGCACCTCTGCAAAAACAGTGATTATGTGTGAGTGAGGTGAAAGTGTTGAATGATGATGAAAGTATTTTCTTTTTGGGGATTTTCTTTCTTCTTGGGTCATCCTGCCTCGGTGGGAGACGGCCAACTTGTTAAAAAAAAAAATGTCAGTCAAGATAGTTTATTCAACAAAAATTTTTTTAGTACTCTGACTGTCTCTGACAAAGGTAGGGAGACCCAAGAAAGAGTAAATACTTTTATTATCATTCATTCTATCACTGTCTTGGTATTATTATTTCATTAATGTTAAGTGGTAAACCTGTGTAGGCTATTAAGCAGAAGTAGGAGTGTAGGCTTGATCCTCCATCTGTAGACACAGAGAGAAATTGTATTCTTGAAGAGTGGGCATTAGTGTCATTTCATTTCATTCTCAAAAGCTTTTTTTTTTATCTAGTCAGGCCCTGCACACAAGGTTTCAGGAATCACACTTGTGAGGCACTAGAAATAATAACTGTACATGCTGCAAATTACCTTAGCAAAGCAGCACCATTGTCAATATTAAAACAATAATTCACTTGTGTGATAATGACTGATAAAAAATTCTATTTGATGCTGCATTTCATTTGGCAAGTTTTAACATTTAAGTAGTACAAAGCCATGCTTTACACGATTAAAATAATACTGAAGGAAATTAATTTAAAGCACTAGCATAGTATTAATCAGTTTTCAATAAACTCTGATAAAGCAGTACAGTACTTAATTGTATCAAGATCACAGATGCCTATCTAATAACTGCTAAATTTCTGCATAACTATTCACTGTTCTTAACTTTTTACTAATCATATTTTTATCAACTTAATCCTTCTCTGGGTCACCATGCCTTGGTGGGAAATGGCTGATGTCTTAAGAAATAAAAATAATCAATTTTTGCTTACCTTTCCTTGATCAGTTCTAAGATATTTGAGCATGTACGTATAGCCTTTCAACGCTTTCAGTTTCTCTCCTAGCTGCTCAAGGAGATCACAACGGGCCCAGTGGTAATCCAGATTTTGTGGGTTGGCTTTAATAGCTCGGCCCCAACAAAACACTGCTTGCTGGATATCTCCCTAGAGGATAAATTTTGAAAGTGAGTTTCTTTTACTCATACTAATGCCATTTAGCTGAAAATGTGAGTGATAAAGTACAAGCACTTGCAAGAACCTCAAGTACTAAAATATATTGTAAAACTACTCAAATATTTTATTTATAAAACTTAAAAAGTCCATTATTTTACAGGAAAATTGACATACCTGATGAAGAGACAGATCTGCTAATTTCTCCCATTCTTCAGCATTTGGGCTGAGAAATGCAGCAATCAGAAGAAACTGCAGAGACTTGTTCACCATTTTCTTCTCTTCATAGATCATTCCTAAAGTCTGTAAAATTTTAATTTATTTTAAAAAATACATATGTACTTCTAAATATAGTACATGTATTACAGAGAAAAAGTATAATTTAACGGAAAACAAATGAAGTTGTCACTTACCTTTAAAAGTTATGTAGCTCACCTAATACAAAAAAGAAATGGGTAAAAAATTGTTTACTACATTGTCAAGTGTAGATACAAAGTGCAGACAATTTAATTAATCAGTATTTCTTTGTATTAGATGGGTTACACAACTTTTAAGGGGAGGTAACAATTTCATTGGCTATCCACTAAAATACACATTTTCAAGCTAAGTCGCAAAAAATGAAACAAGTGCTGATTAATTGAGATAATTTTTAATAACTTTAGCCATAATGATAATTAATTAACATAGAGTATAACTCTGTGCAGCATCACAATTTATTGGTTGCAGAAAATGGGGCTTATAATGCTTACATAGTGTGCTACTTCAAAAATTAAAAACATTGTGCTCTTTTATTAAACCTCTTTTTTATAAAAATCAGGCAGCTTATTTTAAAAAAATAATTCCAAACTAAACTGTTGTGTTCTGAGCACCTCTGCAAAAACAGTGATTATTTGGGAGTGAGGTGAAAGTGTTGAATGATGGTGAAAGTATTTTCTTTTTGGGGATTTTCTTTCTTTTTTGGGTCACCCTGCCTCGGTGGGAGACGGCCGACTTGTTAAAAAAAAAAAAAGTATTAATAAGGTGTTGTTGCAGCTTTTACTATTTTTACTCCACTTATGCTCATCTGCTTCAAAGTACAGTAGTACACCACTTTTTTTTTTTCTACAAACCAGCCGTATCCCACCAAGGCAGAGTGGCCCAAAAAGAAAAACGAAAGTTTCTCTTTTTAAATTTAGTAATTTATACAGGAGAAGGGGTTACTAGTCCCTTGCTCCCAGCATTTTAGTCGCCTCTTACATGCATGGCTTATGGAGGAAGGATTCTGTTCCACTTCCCCATGGAGATAAGAGGAAATAAACAAGAACAAGAACTAGAAAGAAAATAGAAGAAAACCCAGAGGGGTGTGTATATATATGCTTGTACATGTATGTGTAGCGTGACCTAAGTGTAAGTAGAAGTAGCAAGACATACCTGAAATCTTGCATGTGTATGAGACAAAAAAAAAAAGACATCTGCAATCCTACCATCATGTAAAACAATTACAGGATTCCGTTTTACACTCACTTGGCAGGACGGTAGTACCTCCCTGGGTGGTTCCTGTCTACCAACCTACTTACTACAAGTACACCACTTATAATGGTAATTATAACAGCAAATATTATTTGAATGGAGACGAATGGTACTTGGGACCTGACGATCTGTTGGAGTGTGAGCAGGGTAATATTTAGTGAAGGGATTCAGGGAAACCGGTTACATGTATTTTCATATAGTTGGACTTGAGTCCTGGAAATGGGAAGTACAATGCCTGCACTTTAAAGGAGGGGTTTGGGATATTGGCAGTTTGGAGGGATATGTTGTGTATCTTTATATGTGTTTGCTTCTAAACTGTTGTATTCTGAGCACCTCTGCAAAAACAGTGATAATGTGCAAGTGTGGTGAAAGTGTTGAATGATGATGAAAGTATTTTCTTTTTGGGGATTTTCTTTCTTTTTTTGGGTCACCCTGCCTCGGTGGGAGACGACCGACTTGTTGAAAAAAAAAAAAAAAATATTATTTGTACACAAATATGAGTGAAGCTCATTTCTTTTGTCTCTGTTTTAAAAGAAAATTTAAAGATGCTGAAATAAGAGATAAAAATTATAAAAAAATCCATCCATGCAAAATTAAAAAAAAATAATTATGTACCATTTACTCTATCTTATGATTCAGTATCTCTTAAAAAAAAATTTGTTTATATCTCAGAATATTGTGTCTAAGTATACAAGGTATACAAGAAATGATATAGCATGTAATGATAGTAGTTGGTTAGAGTATGTATTGGTGGATGAAAGGTTGATGGGTAGGCTTCAGGATGTACATGTTTATAGAGGGGGCAATGGATATATCGGATCATTATTTAGTTGTAGCTACAGTTAGAGCAAGAGGGACAAAAGGAAAATGGCAACAGCAAGTTAGAGAGAGGTGAAAGTGTATAAACTAAGGGAGGAGGAAGTTCGGGTGAGCTAATAAGCAACTATTGCCAGAAAGGTGGGCTACTGCAAATATGAGTAGTGGGGGGAAAGGGGTTGGGCAGAGTTAGGATAGTTTTAAAAATACTGTATCAGAATGTGGGGCAGAAGTTTATGGCTATAGGAGGGTGGGTGCAGGAGGAAAGAGGAGTGATTGGTGGAATGATGAAGTATAGGGTGTGATAAAAGAGAAAAAGGTAACTTATGAGAGGTTTTTACAAAGCAGAAATGTTGTAAGAAGAGCAGAGTATATGGAGAGTAAAAGAAAGGTGAAGAGAGTGGTGAGAGAGTGCAAAAGGAGAGCAGATGAAAGAATGGGAGAAGCATTGGCAAGAAATTTTGATGAAAATAAGAAAAAAATTTGGAGATAAACAAGTTAAGAAAGCCTAGCAAATAAATGGATTTGTCAGTTAAAAAAAAGAGTAGGGGAGTTAATAGATGGGAAGCTGGAGGTATTGGGTAGATGGCGGGAATATTTTGAGGAACTTTTAAATGTCAATGATGAAAGGGAGGCAGTCATTTCATGCACTGGACACGGAGGTATAACATCTTTTAGGAGTGAAGAGACAGCAGGATGTGAGTGTGGGGGAGGTGCACGAGGCATTATGTAGAATGAAAGGGGGTAAAGCAGCAGGAACTGACGGGATCATGACAGAAATGTTAAAAGCAGGGGGATGGGTGAGATACTGAGTTGGAGTGGTTGGTATTTTTGTTCAATAAATGTATGAAAGAGGGGAAGGCATCTAGGGATTGGCAGAGAGCATGCATAGTTCCTTTATATAAAAGGAAGGGGGACAAAAGAGATTGTAAAAATTATAGAGGAATAAGTTTACCGAGTTGTAGGTAGTAGGTTGGTAGACAGCAACCGCCTGGAGGTACTACCGTCCTACCAAGTGAGTGTAAAACGGAAACCTGAAATTGTTTTATACAATGGTAGGATTGCTGGTGTCTTTTGTCTGTCTCATAAATATGCAAGATTACAGGTAAGTCTTGCTACTTCTACTTACACTTAGGTCACACTACACATACATGTACAAGCATTTATACACACACCCCTCTGGGTTTTCTTCTATTTTCTTTCTAATTCTTGTTCTTGTTTATTTCCTCTTATCTCCATGGGGAAGTGGAACAGAATTCTTCCTCTGTAAGCCATGCGTGTCGTAAGAGGCGACTAAAATGCCGGGAGCAAGGGGCTAGTAACCCCTTCTCGTGTATATATTACTAAATTTAAAAGGAGAAACTTCAGTTTTTTCTTTTGGGCCACCCCACCTCAGTGGGATACGGCTGGTACGTTGAAAGAAGAGAAAGAAGGATTGCTGGTGTCTTACATTTATGTCGCACTACACATACATGTACAAGCATATATACACACACCCCTCTGGGTTTTCTTCTATTTTCTTTCTAGATCTTGTTCACTTCCTCTTATCTCCATGAGGAAGTTGAACAGAATTCTTCTTCCGTAAGCCATGCACGTTGTAAGAGGCGACTAAAATGCAGGGAGAAAGGGGCTAGTAACCCCCCTTCTCCTGTATAAATTAATAAATTTAAAAAGAGAAACTTTTGTTTTTCTTTTTGGGCTGCCCTGCCTTGGTGGGATACAGCCAGGTTGTTGAAAAAAAAAAAAAAGTTTACTAAGAATACCAGGTCAAGTGTACGGTAGGGTTATTATTGAAAGAATTAGAGGTAAGACAGAGAGTAGGATTGCATATGAGCAAGGAGGCTTTAGAGTGGGTAGGGGATGTGTAGCTCAAGTGTTTACATTGAAGCACATATGTTAATAGTATTTAGATAAAGGTAGGGAAGTTTTCACTGCGTTTATGGATTTAGAAAAGGCATATCATAGAGTGGATAGGGGAGCAATGTGGCAGATGTTGCAAGTATATGGAATAGGTGGTAAGTTACTAAATGCTGTAAAGAGTTTTTATGAGGATAGTGAGGCTCAGGTTAGGGTGTGTAGCCAGGGCCAGATTAAGAAGTCTCCGGGCCCTAGGCTATTCAGATTGGCGGGGCCCCTTTGAGTTACGGGTAAGCGAAGCGACCCCTTCCAGCTTGGGGGTGGGGGTCGGTGTGAGCCTGTTTAAGGTCTAATTAAATACATTCTGGCTATTTAGATTAAATTTAATAGGGAAAGTACATCAAGTCAACCAAAACCATTTACCAACAGCCATTATAACTATCTTGTTAAATCATGCATTTTAAAGAGAATAAACTCAAGACAGCATAGTATTACTAGATTAGGCTATTAAAGTAGTGACATTTATGGTTAGGTTTATTTATTTTTATTTTATTTTATTTCATTATTTATTTTTGTTTTGATTAATTTTTAAAAATCAATTTTACTCTCCAAACACTTGAACTTTTTAGGTAGGGACCCCTTTGCACTTGCACCATGTGCGCAGTCTTGGATGAGCCCCTGAACCCCTTGGACCGCGGGGCCCTAGGCAAATGCCTAGTTTGCCTATGCGGTAATACGGCCCTGTGTGTAGGAGAGAGGGAGATTACTTCTCGGTAAAAGTAGGTCTTAGACAGGGATGTGTAATGTCGCCATGGCTATTTAATATAGATGGGGTTGTAAAAGAAGTAAATGCTAGGGTGTTGGGAAGAGGAGTGGGATTAAATTATGGGGAATCAAGTACAAAATGGGAGTTGACACAGTTACTTTTTGCTGCTGATACTGTGCTTATGGGAGATTCTAAAGAAAAGTTGCAAAGGTTAGCAGATGAGTTTGGGAGGGTGTGTAAAGGTAGAAAGTTGAAAGTGAACATAGATAAGAGTAAAGTGATGAGGGTATCAAATGATTTAGATAAAGAAAAATTGGATATCATATTGGAGAGAGGGAGTATAGAAGAAGCGAATGTTTTCAGATATTTGGGAGTTGACTTGTCAGCAGATGGGTTCATGAAGGACGAGGTTAACCATAGAACTGATGAAAGAAAAAAGGTGAGTGGTGCGTTGAGGTATCTGTAGAGACAAAAAAACATTATCTAAGGAGGCAAAGAAGGGAATGTATGAAAGTATAGTGGTACCAACACTCTGATATGAGTGTGAAGCTTGGGTTGTAAATGCTGCAGTGAGGAGGCGGCTGGAGACAGTAGCGATGTCCTGCGTAAGGGCAATGTGTGGTGTAAATATTATGCAAAGAATTCACAGTGTAGAAATTAGGAGGTGTGGAGTTACTAAAAGTATTAATCAGAGGGCTGAAGAGGGGTTGTTGAGGTAGTTTGGTCATTTAGAGAGAATGGATCAAAGTAGAATGGCTAGGAGAGTGTATAAATCTGTAGGAGAAGGAAGGAGGGGTAGGAATCATCCTTGAAAAGGTTGGAGGGAGAGGGATAAAGGAGGTTTTGTGGGCGAGGGGCTTTGGCTTCCAGCATACGTGTGTGAGCGTGTTAGATAGGAGTAAATGGAGATGAACGGTTTTTGGGGCGTTTTTAAGCTGTTGGAGTGTGAGCAGGATAATATTTATTGAAGGAATTCAGGGAAACTTGTTATTATGAATTTAGCCAGACTTGACTCCTGGAAATGGGAAGTACAATGCCTGCACTTTAAAGGAGGGGTCTGGGATATTGACAGTTTGGAGTGATTTCTAAACTGTCATATCTGAGCTGCTCTGCAAAGTCAGTGATTATGTATGAGTGAGGTGAAAGTGTTGAATGATGATGAAAGTATTTTCTTTTTGGGGATTTTCTTTCTTTTTGGGTCACCCTGCCTCGGTGGGATTTGGCCGACATGATAAAAAAAAAAAAGTAGTAGAAATACAGTGTGTGTGCAGCCCAAACATTCATTTGCAGAATATATTTTGCTCTGCTGGAAGCAAGGGGCTAGTAACCCCTTTTCCTGTATTTTTTATTATAATTATCACACTGGCCGATTCCCACCAAGGCAGGGTGGCCTGAAAAAGAAAAACTTTCTCCATCATTCACTCCATCACTGTCTTGCCAGAAGGGTGCTTTACACTACAGTTTTTAAACTGCAACATTAACACCCCTCCTTCAGAGTGCAGGCACTGTACTTCCCATCTCCAGGACTCAAGTCCGGCCTGTCGGTTTCCCTGAACCCCTTCATAAATGTTACTTTGCTCACACTCCAACAGCACGTCAAGTATTAAAAACCATTTGTCTCCATTCACTCCTATCAAACACGCTCACGCATGCCTGCTGGAAGTTCAAGCCCCCTCGCACACAAAACCTCCTTTTTCTGTATACAATACTAAATTTAAAAAAAGAAACTTTTGTTTTACTTTTTAAGTCACCCTGCCTTGGTGGGATATGGCCAGTTCGTTGAAAAAAATGAAAATTAAAAATTTTAGAATATACCTTCCTTGGGAACTTCTCTCAATTTATTAGACAATCTTACATAGTTTCCCACTGACAACTGTATTGCCTTCAACTCTTGCAGAATATTTAGGGACAATAATATACTTATTAAGAGGTGAAATGTACCTGATATGGCTCAGGTGAATGTGAAAACTGTCTTATAACCTCCATACACATCTTGATAGCTTCATCATACTCGCAGCGAGCATAACGTAGATTGGCCTCACCCATAAGACCCTGCAAAGCAGCTGGTAAACGTCGTCGTCGTCTCTTCTCTCTGCTACTTTTACGTTTTAGCTGGTACCTGAAAGGAAATAAAAAGTTATTCAGCCAACTGGATATCTCCTGCCTAATTAACACTCACTAGAACTGCTATGTGGTCTTCTTTCTTTTTTCAACAAACCGGCCATATCCTACAGAAGCTGGGTGGCCCAAAAAGAAAAACAAAAATTTCCTTTTTTAACTTTAGTAATATACACAGGGGAAGGGATAACTAGCCCCTTGCTCCTGGCATGTTAGTCACCTCTTATGACATGCATGGCATAAGGAGGAACAATTCTGTTCCCCTTCCCCATCGAGATTAGAGGAACTAGTAAGAAAATTGAAGAAAACCCAGAAGGGGTGTGTGTGTGTGTGTGGTGTTGTGTGTGTGTGTGGTGTGTTTTGTGTGGTGTGGTTGTGTTGGTGTTGTGTGTGTGTGTGTTTTGTGTGTACTCACCTATTTGTACTCACCTTTTTGTGGTTGCGGGGGTCGATCTAGCCCTGCCCCGCCTCTTTCACCGTTGTACTGGGCCCTCTTTCTCCCCGTTTCCATGATTTTATCAAACCCTCTTAAAACTGTGTAGGGTTTTCCTGCCTCCACTCCCATTTTCTGGGCTTTTCCACTGCCTTACAACTCAACTGAAAAAATACTTCCTCTACCCTTTTTACTCATTTTTGTCTTCAATTTCCATTGTGGCCTCTTGTTTTGTGCCCCTCCCTGAACATCCGTCTTTGTCCACCTTGTCTATTCCATGCGATTTATGTCTTATCAGTCTCCCCTGACCCCCCTTCCCCTCCATGTGCAGGCCGTTTCCCCTTTAAACTTTCTTCATGGGCATTCCCCTTAGCCTGAACTAACCTTGTCGAAACCCCTTTGTACTTTCTCTTTTCTTGACGTCTTTTCAAGTGGGGGTTCCAAACAGTCTGCATACCCCGTATGGGCCTGACTCACGGGAAAGTGTTTTGAAGTTTCCTACTAAGGATCGGAATGCTGTTCTCGGGTTTTCCCACCCCCATATCGCAGCATTACTGTTGGTGTGTTTCCCGGGAACTGCCGGGTTTTATCCCCCCAAATTTTTCTCCTTATGAGGTTTGCAGTTTTTGGCCACCTACTATACCTGTCGTGGTCTTCGTGCCCTTCCCCTATCTTCATGATTTTGTTTGGCGGATTAAACGAAACCCCATTTGCGGACCAGGTGTCCTCTGCCCAGGTTTTTGAAGTCCGCCTGGTCCTCATCAGATTTAAATTCCCCTCTTACTTCACACATCTGCAAACAGGGACACTTCGAGTCAAACCCTTTCCCGCATGCGTTCACAATCCCAAAAAATAGGACGGGGCCTAGGACCCCCCCCGGGGACCCCCCGCTTCCCCACGGGTGCCCCTGTGATACTCTTACGTACCATACTCTTTTTGCCCCCCGTCAGGTACTCTGACCTTTGCGGGCCCTTCCTTTTATTCCCTGACTCTAGCTTCTCCCAAAAATCTCTTGTGGGGAACTGTGTCAAAGCCTTTTTGCAGTCCAAGAAGAAAAAATCAACCCACCCCTCTCCTCTTGTCTTACTTCTGTTTTTTTATCATAAAACCAAAAAGGGTTTGTGAAAAGGGATTTGTTTCCCGTGAACCCCGTGCGGGGGCATTTATCCCCTTTTTCCGTTCCAGGGCCCACCACTCTCCTCCTGATAATCTTCTCCAAAATTTTGATACTATACCCGCAATGACACGGGTCTTAGTTTGTGCCTCTTTTCGTCCCCTTTTTTGAAAATGGAACCATTTGCCGTTTCCATACCTCGGGTAGTTGCCCTTTTTCCGGGGATGTGTTGAAGATTGTGGTAAGGGCACGCAAAACATACTGCCCCCTCTCAAAGGACCCAGAGAGATTTTGCCCGGGTCCCATTGCCTTTGGGGATCGATTTCCACTTTCCCCCCCTTCCCCTCCTCTCTGTATGTATGTCGCCCAACACTTGTTGGTGTATTCCTTGGGGTACCCCCCATCGGTCGCCCCCCAGAGTCCTTCCTGTCTTACTGTAAAACTTCCTTAAATTCTTTGAGCTCCTCACATACCTCTTATCGTTTTTTGTGAGTTCTCCACCTTCTTTCCTCAGCCTTATCACCTGGCCCTTGACTTTGTCTTCCTCCTAAGTGCATACAGCAGTTTCGGGTCAATTTGATTTTCGATGAGGTCTTTTCATACGTCCGGGGGCCTCCCTCCTTATTGCGCATACTCGTTTCTGGCTTTCTACAAATCCCTTTGTTTTCCTGGGCCCTATGCCCCCTGTACCTTTTCCATTCTCTTTGCATTTTGTTTTTGCCTCCCTACACCTTCGGGAAACCAAGGACTCGTTTTGGTCCCCTATTATTTCTTTTTTCCCTTTGGGGAACAAAACTTTCCTCTGCCCCCTTTGCACTTTGTTGCCACAATGTATTTTTGTGGTGTGTGTGGTGTGGGGTTTTGTGTGGTTGTGGTGTGTGGTGTGGGGTTGTGTGTGTGTGTGTGTGTGTGGTGTGTGTGTGTGGGATAACTGCCCCTATTACATCATAGAAACTAACTTGTATTAACCCTCCCTAAAAACATCTCCTTCCCAACCTAAACAGAACCATGACCTAAAAAGGGCACAGATCCTCTTTGATTTTCCTCTTTCCCATCTCACCTATGCAAAAACTAAAGCCATAAAAGGCCCTAAAATCGGGAATTTTACTGTAATTATAAAAGAAACACTACCTGTTTTTTAAATTCATCTTTTCCCAAAAGATCACTTACTCACCCAAAACCAAATAAATACTGAATAACAAACCCAAAAAATTGTATATTTTAAATTTTTCTCAAAATTAACAAAAAATTTTTTAAACCAAAAACCCAATCTAACTTTATTTTTTTTAAAACACCCCTAACAAATACTCCATTCTACTGAATTTACAACAATGCATGCAACCATATGTGTTTTTGTAATACTCCTTGTGTTTTTGAAATCTTTTTACTTTAATTTTTTTTCACTGATTTATCATTGCTTAGTAACTTAATTTAATTTTTAAAGCCACCCCCGTAAGATGCAAGTAAAATGTTTTGGCATGCTGTCTTATCTTATTTTTTTGTACCCTGTATGTGTGCTAAAATTAAAAATAAATAAAAAAATAAATAAATAAAAAAATATATTATAAAATTTTATATAATATATATATATATATTTAATCTTCTTCTTTTCTTCTTTCAACGTACCGCCGAAACCCCACTGGGTGGGGGCCCAAAAGAAAAAACTAAGTTTCCCCTTTTAAATTTATAATATATCAGGAAAGGGGGTTTACTACCCCCTTTGCTCCCGGCTTTTTAGTCCCCTCTTACAACAGAGGGCTTAAAGGGGAAGAATTCTTTTCCCACTTCCCCAGGGAGATAAGGGGAAAATAAACAAAACAAGAATTAGAAAGAAAATAGAAAAAACCCCCAAGGGTGGTATATATAGCTTGTACTGTATGTTTAGTGTGACCTAAGTGAATAGAATAAAGACTTCCCTTAATCTTGCATATTTATGAACAGACAAAAGACCCAGCAATTACCATCATTAAAACAATTACGGGCTTTTTTTTTCACTCATTTGGCAGGACGGTAGTACCCCCCCTGGGCGGGGCGTCTCCCAAACCCTCTACCTAGGATATATTTATATATATTATATATATATTATATATAATATATAATTTAATTTTATTTATATATATAATATAATAATATATATAAATTTATATTATAATATATGTTATATATATATATATTTATATAATAATATATATATATATATAATATATATATATATATTATATATTTATAAATATATATATTTTTTTATTTCCACCGGCCGTTTCCCCCCAAGGCGGGTGGCCCGAAAAAAAAAAAACTTTCACCATCATTACTCCATCCGTCTTGCCAGAAGGGTGCTTTACACTACAGTTTTTAAACGCAACTTAACACCCCCCTTAAAGGGGCAGGCACTGTCTTCCCATTCCGGGACTCAAGTCCGGCCTCCCGGTTTTCCCAAACCCCTTCAAAATTTACTTTGCTAACTCCAACGCAGCAAGTTTTAAAAAACCCATTTTCCCCTTTCACTCCTATCAAACACGTCACCAGCTCTGGGTCCAACCCCCCACCAAAACCTCCTTTCCCCCCCTCCCTCCAACCCTTCCTAGGCCCCCCTACCCCCCCTTTCCTTCCACACGACGATCCCTCGGGTTTTTGCGCCCACCCTAATGTCCGAACCCCTAAAACAACCCTCCCAGCCCCGGGACAACTTTTTGGGAATCCCGCACCCTCCAAAACCCCAAACTTAAATTTCTCGCTTTATTCACACCCACATTGCCCTCAACATGCATCTCCACCCCCCCACCCTTTCTCCTCGCGGCAACATTCTCACCCCCGTTTCCCACACCCAAAAGGCTTTGGTAAAATATATCTAAACATTCCCCCTTTTTGCCCCAAGGACAAAGTTCTTTGTCTCCAAAACTCCAAGGGGACCACTCACTCTTTTTTCCCCATAAATTTCTTGATTCACCTCACTTTCTAGACCCACCCTGACCTCCACTCCCAAATATCTAATACGTTCCCTCCTCCACACTCCTCCCCCCAATCTGATTTTCAATTTTTCATCCCCTAATCTTTTTGTTATCCTCATAAACTATTTTCCTGTATTACCTTTTAATTTTTTTCTTTTGACCCCACCAAATTCATCCACCAATCCTGCAACTTGGGTTTAATTACACGGTGTTATAAAGTTTTTCTTTTTTCTTTTTAGAAGTTCTACGGGAAAAGGGGGTTTTTACACCCCCTTTGCTCCCGCATTTTGTCGCCTCATAACACGCATGGTTTTATGGGGAAAGATTTTTTTCCCTTTTCCCCAGGGGACAATAGAAAAATAAAGAAGAACAAGACTATTAAAAAAGGAGAAAAACCTAGTGTAGCGTATAAATATCATGTGTGTGTCGTGAAGTGTAAACAAAGTAATAGAAGTAGCAAGATATCCCTGTTATCTAGCGGTTTATGAGACGAAAAGAAACCAGCA